CCCCCCCACCCCAGTCGATCCAAACTCGGGGATCCCCCACCCTGAGTCCCCCACCCCGGGGGCTCTGGGCAGTCGATCCAAACTCGGGTAGCCTGGTCAATTGGTACAATGACAGACTTACAGACCAACTGAACAGATTTAAGGACGTAGGAGTAAACCCACCCACCTGTGGCTAGCCTAAGAGGTGCCCTGGTGGCATAGTGGTTCCAAGTTGGGCTTAACTGAGTTAAGCTACCCACTTATGCTCATTCCTTCATGATTGTGACCCATGAGTTTGTGACCAACAAGTCCCTATTGTTTAAATCTGTTCAAGTCAGGGTGCACTAATCTTCGAGCATCCTCCCCAATATGGCTAGCTCATAGGTTGCATCCAACTTTCTCCATCCCACAAATCCATGCTCTCCACAGGGCTTCTCCAGCCCTGGTGCTGCAGAACTACCTGGAACACTTGTAAAGACTGCAGATTCCTGGGAGATCAGGAAGCACTGATGGGGCGGGCACCCTGGGCACCCCTGATGTGTGGGTGGTCTGAAGAGGTCCCTCTGAGGACACTGCTCGCCAAGGGCGCTGTCTGGACCCCATGTGCTGTTGGTTCTTGTCATTAATTTCTGTGCTCCTCACCTGGAGGCACCGCAGAAGCACACCTAGCAACCTGCTTCTAACAGGTCACAGTCTTGAAACCACTGAGGGGCCTCGAGTGGGTTTGAACCATTGGCCTTGTGGTTAACAGCCTACTGCTTACCTCGCTAGGCTCCCAGGACTCCTGAAGAGCTTATGGAAACCGAAATTTGAGTTGAGTAAGAATAATGATAACCCTTTACATATTCATGGTGTTGTGTTTATTGCTAATTTTTAATTGAGGTATATCTCATATGCTAGAAAATGTACCCCTTTAGAGCACAATTTAAAAACAAGGACATTTCTTAAATAGAAATTAAACTCAGTGTTTTAAATTTAATTGAAAAGTTTTCCGTTTCAGAGCTAGAAGCACAATCTGAGCATTTATTACCATCAAGTCAATTTCGAATCATAGTGACCGTGTAGGTACACTCCGCAGGAGTGGAAAACCTCATCACTCCCCTATGGTGGGCTGGCGGCTTTGAACTGCAGACCTTGCAGTTAGCCGTCCAACCCCCAACCACTCCCTCACCGGGGCTACTGGAAAGCACAATAATTTCTAGCGTCTCCACAGTGCCGTGCAACAATGTTCTCTACTTCCCAAACCGTTTCATTGCTTCACCATTCCCAAGGGAAAGTCCCATACCCACTCACAGACCCTCCCTGTTCTCTCCCTCCCCTAGGATCCCAGTCAGCCACCACTCTACGTCATGTCTATCCATGTGCTTATCTCAGACAAAGGATGTCAATGGGATCATACGATGTGTAGCCTTTCACGGCTGCTTTCTTTCATACAGTGGGATGTTTCCAAGCTTCAGCCATGCTGTAGCACGTGTACATCGTTCCTTTGGACAGGTGACGGCTCCTCTATGACGTGGATCTGCTACATTGTGTTTATCCATTCATCGCTTGCGGAGATAGGTGCGGTTTCCATTTTTCGGCTCTCATGAGGGATGCTCATTGGGACACAGGTGTCCACAGTTCTGTGTGAACATGTGCTTTCATTTTTCCTTCATGTATGTTTAGGAGTGGAATGGCCAGGTCATATGATGACTCTGCGTTTAACTTTTTGAGTTGCTGCCAGACTGTCTTCTAAAGAGCTGCATGGTTTCCCAATCCCACCAGCAACGTATGGGGCTGTATGTAGTGCTTGATGGTTTTGGAAATCCCTTTCACAGTCACGATTTTCAGCAAACCCTCACTGTAGCCCAGCAAGGAATTGTATGAACTCTTGGGTAAAGAGGTTATATTGGTGGACATTCTTATTATCTTCATCGTTACAGATGAAGAGATTGTACTGGTGAACATCCTTGCATTCTCTGGTGGCAGAAACGTAAAAGAGATGGTACCAAACCAAAGAGCCAAGCTCATGGTCAAGTTGATGCCGACTCATAGCGACCTTTTAGGACAGGGTGGAACTGCCCCTGTGGATTTCCGAGCCTGTGGCTCTTTATGGGGGTGGAAAGTTCTGCCTCTCTCCTGTGGAGTGGCTGGTGGCTTTGAATAGCAGACTCTTCAGATCACAGCCCAGATGCATCACCACCACGCAAGTTCATGCAACTAGGAAAGACCAAGTTACATGTGTGTGTTGGCTGCGGGTGTGGCTGGATCAAGAGCTTCAATTGAATGCGATTGCCTTGATCTCTGAGCCTGGGTTCTCTTTCTGCAGCCGAGAGGCCATCTCTTCAGTCAGTAGCCCCAAGCTTACACTTCTTCCCTAGAGCCTAGAGAAACGGCCATGCAGGGGAGTTCCCTGCAGAGCCCAGACAAAGGCATGGCAGACCATGTCTCTACTTCAAAACCCCACGCTGGAGGTGTCCGCTTCTCCTTCCAGCAGCATCACGGTCTGCAGCCTACTCAAGACAATGGCCCCTCTGCGGGGCTGAGCATTGGTTAAAACCATCAATGTACCATGGCAGTGGGGATGCCGACTCAAAGCCACCCTACAGGACAGGGGAGGGTTGCCCCTGTGGGTTTCTAAGAAGCTAAACTCTTTACAGTAGTGGAAAGCCTCACCTTTCTCCCGTGGAAAGGGCTGGTATAATCCGCTATGCCACCAGGGCTCCTTAATTGTTAGCAGCCCAAGAAAAGTCCTCCCAAGGGCCAGATTTCAGTAGGAAATGCAGCTAGAATCACGCGGAAGGACAAGCTGCGATTTCAAATAAAATGACCAGTGGTCTTTTTCAGTTGTTCCCAGAAGCAGGTATCAAAACTACTTTGCCCAAAAAATATGGGGAGACCGATTTCATGGCACCCCCATGTGAAATGTTAACAACTGAATGGGTTTGTCGAAGAATAACAATGGATCCTTTTCTCCTAAAGAAACCCTTGCATCAAGCAAAGAGAGAAGTTCTACCCACCTAGAGTGAGCTGCCTGGAGACTTGCATCCTCAGGAGATGCAAAGCAACAGGCCGACTACCAGAGACGCAGCCCCTGAATCAGGGCTGTGGCTGGTGAAGCAAGCAGTTGGGTAGGGTGCAGAGAGAGAGAGAGCAGAGTTGCTTCTGAAATCAGCTCAGTGGGTACAGGGCTGTCGCACTGACGGGCTCACCGTCTGAAGGCTGCCACTGAGAAACAGTCCTGAAGTAAGGCTCGAGGAAATCTTGGCATTCCGTGTGGGCTTCGGATAACATGCTGTCGAGGACGGGATGAAACGCTGACAAGGACAGCCGAGAAGGAAGGGGGTGGCACCCCTGCTGTTTGGTGGCAGTCGCAGGCGGAAGCAATGGTTCGAGACCGCTGTTTATCTGCTCTTGGCCCCTCACAGCTGATGGAAGGGAGGTCTCGGGATGGTCTTCTCTTGTACTGCGCAAAGGTCTCAGCTGTTCAACTTCACTTTCTCCAAGAGGATCAGCTCTGTTTGCTGCTCAGGAATTTGGACTAAACAATCTTTTCGCACAGGCCAAACTATGAGCAGACCTTTTTATGAATACATGGGCTTCCTTGAAACTGGTTGACGAGAAAATCAGAGAAGGAAGTTTATAAGAACTTCACTGCATTTTTCTAAACTGAGAAAAACGACAAATTCCGAGTTGAGCTGCCAGAAGAAAATCAGGCAAGATGAAATATTCGAGATTAGAGAAAAAATTTAATTTACCAAACAAATGGTTCCCTAGATCCATGGCTTAGTAGAAAATCTGTGCCTATTTCGCCCTACATTTTTTGGTATGTCATGATATTGCTATAGGAACCTTTAGATTTTATTTATTTAAAAATAAAACATTTTGTTGCGTTTGCATTCCACGCTGGAGTGCCAGTTGACAGTGCACGCAAGTTCTTCAGCGGCATTGGTTGGGTCTGTCTCCGCTGTTCCCTTTAAGAGCTCTGGTTTCCCGTCTCGGACCTTCTCGCCCGTGGTTTGGAGTCACTGCGGCCCTTTGGGTCCCCTGTGGATGGTTTCTATGTATGGGAGGAGCATCAGGATTGCTATCTTTTACCTTGTGTTCCATTCTGTCATTTTCCTAAAAGGTGATCGATGGGAATAGGCTCAGTTCTAGGTTTAAGAAGTGCCCTGGAGTGAGACAATTTCAGGGAGTCCTCTGGTCTCTACAGATCCAGTTTGTCTGGCTCTATTTTTTTTTTTTTTGGAGCCCTGGTGGCGAAGTGGTTATATGTTAGGCTGCTCACCAGAAGGTGAGCAGTAGTTTGAAACCACCAGGTGCTCCTTGGGAGAAAGAGGAGGCTTTCTACCCCCATACAGAGTTACAGTCTCAGAAAACTACAGGGCAGTTCTAGCCTTTCCTATAGGGTCACTGTGAGTTGGGATCGACTCGGTGGCATTGAGAATATTAGTTCTCTTCCACAATTTTCTCTCCAAAACTGACTGTTGTGGTCTTGGTCAGAGCGGTCTGTGGGAGTGGCCAGGCTTCATCTCGTTCTTCCGGTCCCATGGTAGATGGGGTTGTGGCTTATGCAGACTGGTTTACTCTCTGAGCTCTGGTTCCTTCCTTGCTCCTGGCGAGCAGAGACCCATGGCTGTGTCTTGGATGGCCACTCT